ACGCAGTGAGGAGACTCAGGTGCGGGAGCTGGGATGTGGCCTCACAGCAACACACGGGAGACACTGAGCCCTTGGTGAGCGTGGGCCCTGGAGTTGTCCCTGTGGGAAGCCACTGGAACAGTGTGAGCCCTGCGTTGAGTCCAGAGAGGAAATATGATAGCACTCTAGTCCTCATCTCTGGTCCTGCCACACTGGGATGACCATGCTGTATTTCAGAAGTCTCAGAGGAGTCTCCACTTACAAATCAGCAACTGTCCCTCCTCTGCTGTGAAATCTGCTGGTGTCATGATTGTGGTCCTTCCACTCTTCTGAAGCATGAGATGGAAACTTCTTTTGTCTATGCACCACTCAGTCTGTGGTGTTTTGTTATAGCAGCCCACTGCAACTAAGACATCTGTCAAAGCTGAAGTCATATAGATGTCAGTGTCTGGAAGACTGTCAAAGGCTTTTGGACTCTATCCCATGCCCTTAAAACCAAGAGTCAGTGGAGCCTACAGCAGGAGGAAAAGATGCTTTTCCTTTTTCCCTGACTTTCCTACCATCTTAGATGCCATCTTGGGTGTTATGGAATACTCTGAACTTTTGTTGGACATGCTGATCACTGGGAATAAGAAAGGTGGAATTTCTACAACGCTGCAAGCACAGCTTATGAGCCCTAGTGAATTTTAGCTGATTCTAACCACGTCCAGGCCAGTTGCCATTAACAGACCTCACTGTAAAAGCCACCTCACCCTCTTTTCAATTTTGCAGGAACCTTAAGTAATGGAGTAGGATCCGAGGTTGGTTCTGTCTCAGTCAAAGGACCTACATTATTCTCTCACTTCTCTCTCACCATTTTAAAAAAGTTCCTTGAGAATTTTGTACAGCACATTTTTATCATAGTCACCTCTCCCCCTACTCTTCTTAGATTGGTCCTGACTTTTCCCTACCCACCAGACTTTGTGTCTTCCTTTTCCCCTTTCAGAATCCATCAAGTGAAGTTTGTGCCACCCCTATACTCTTGGATGTGTGGTCTTCACCAGAGGGTGGTCTACCCACCCAGGACCACGCCCTTAAAGAAAACTGACTCTCCCTCTCCCGTCAGCTATCAACTGCCAGTAGCTCTTCAGCTAGGGGTGGGACTTCACACCCACCCCGCCCACATGCTGGGATTCTAAAGCTCTTGGGCATGCTCAGTTACTGTGAATTCATTTATGCAACTCCCCTGCTGTTCCCTTATAGTCACCCATCACCTGTGACTCTACATCAGTCTTTCTGTCCCCTCTTCTGCAGTGATCCCTGAGCCTCAGTAAGGATAGGGTAGTGGCAGGGGACAGGTGCCCCCATCCTGGTCCCAGGGAAGACTGTGGTGGCTATAGCAGCCTTGGTGCTCAGCTTGTCCTCCAAGCGGCCTCCCCTGCAGTCAGCCATCCTCACTGGTCCAGGCAATTCATCTCCTCTCTTCGTACAGGTCTAAAGGCAGATGTTTCCTAATGATATTCCAGGCACATGGGCATCTTGTCTCAATTACTTTCCTCATTTGCATTTTTGGTGGAATACCTGGGGTAAGAGTTCACATTTGAACTCCCTCCCTTTCTCACCAGCGGTTCCTTCTTCCATCTGTTGATTCTCTAATTTATGTTCTTTCTGTGTGTGTAATTTATCTTAGCTTCTTGTTCATTTAACTCCTGCGGATAACCTGCCATCTTTGAGCACAGTAACAAAAACCTTCTCTCCCTCTATTACCTCTGTCCCTTGCTCAATCCTTTGGGAACCTGAGCTAGCCATGGCCACAGGAAGGAAGGACCTGCCACTTTGGAAACCGTCACAGAAAGTTCCCTAGTGGATGGCCCCTTGCCAGTAGTCTGCCTTAGGTGCCTGGCATGCTGGGAGAGGGAACATTCATTCTGCAGGGGATGGAACTGCAGAAATTGGTGTTTGATGCCCACAGAGCCACACCACATCCATGGAAAAAGCCAGGAGCCCAAGCAGCAAACCAGATATCAAATGGCACTCTGGGAATGATGACAGATGGTAACATAGGTTCAAGGCCGGTCCTAACCCATCCATAGCTAGGTCATTTTGTTCATCCTTTTGTCCCATCCCAAAGCATCAGTGGGTGTGCATATGTCTAAGTGCTGGGGCTGTGTGCTGAGCCACTCTCTAGGGTGGATATTTTGCTGATTAACTTATGTACCATTGCTTTAGGCTGCTCTGTGATTTACATTAAAATGACTAATTAGGAAAAAAAGCCATTAACAGAGGAACCAAGCAGCTGTTGTTTATGGCTTTAAAGAGCAATTTTTCCCCCAAAGGGAAATATGCAAGTCTGGGGCCAATAAAAGCCCTAGTTGCCTCCCAGCTTTTGACATCTGTCCCCAGCTGGCCAGAGGTCCTGGGGCAGAGCCTTGTCCTGACAATCCATTGTTACCCATGGGAGTGGGTTGTGGAGGGGGTAGTGCTCAGCTGGGCTGGTGTATCTCATGGCAGAGGACAGCAGCTTGGTAAGCTCTGGGTGGCTGAAGTTGGAGGCTGGCTGGGGACAGCAACTGAGATGCCCCCCAACTTTGTTTTCTCATGGGTATGGCGTGAGCACCTCCGTAGAAAGAGCCTGCCCAGACCCTTGGCCATCCCCAGTGCAGCCTGCCTGACCAGCATCCGACACTCAGGTAATAAGTCCATCCCTGCCAGCCCCATGGGGAAGCTTCAGACACATCAGACAGATATTAATATCCTGAGCATCTAGCCCGTTGCCTGGGATTGTGACTTCTGCTCCTGAGGGGGAGGGACATCCAGAGGAACAGAGGTAGAACAGACAGATGTGGGGGCAAAACATTCAGGTTCTCAGAGCCAGAACTTAGCTGAGACCACACCTTGTCATCTTTGCCGTCTGCTTCAGAGCCTGGAGATGACAGTCCCTACCTATAATTCACCAATAAGCCTCGCATACTGAGGGTCATCAGCCCCCTGCTTTCTAAGGAAAAAAAGCTCTAGAGGATGAGGATTTTTGAAACAGTGCCTCAGTAGGAAGACATAATCATAATGGAGAAAACACTGTAAAAGTGGGGACCAAAGAGATGGGCAGGAACCTCAGAGGCAAAGTGAAGTGAAGGAAATAAAAGCAAAATCTATTTATTTTATTTTATACACATGGGAGTTTTGCCTGCATATAGGTTTGTGCACCATCTGCAGGCCTGGTGCCTGAATAGATCTGAAGAGGACATTGGATCTCCTGGAAGTGGAGTTATAGACTGTTGTGGGCCATCCTGCTGGTACTGGGAACCAAACCTGGGTTCTTTCCAAGAGCAACAAATTCTCTAAACTCTTGAGCCATCTCTCTAGCCCCTTGCATGAAGTTTTAATAAACTTGCTTTTGAGGGCTAGGTATGTTGCTCACTGGTGGAGGACTTGCCTGGACTTAGGAAGACCCTGGATTCCGTCCTTAACAGTACAAAAAAAGAAAAAAGAATCAACATGGAACAATCTGGTGGCCCTGGCCTTGGCTTAGCTGCTTCCTTCCACCCCAGAGTGTGAGGAAAGGGGTGGCTTGGCGACCTCTGTGGCCTGCTGTTGTGTGTAGCATGTGCTCTGGGGACACGAGGCAGAGGAACCCCCATGCTGCTGTGTGGTCTTAGGAAGAAACCCTCCCCTCCAAACACGTAACCTCGGAAGCCGGGGATGATCCAGGCAAAACTTCAGCCGGGGGATCTCCTCTGCTTTGGGAGGACCTAGAAAGATTACGACATTCAGTGAGAAACCACAATTTCAAATTTGCTACCTAGCAGCCTGCAACACAGGTACCACATTAAGAGACCCACACAGGAGAGGGGGGCACAAAGGGAAAAATGGGTCCCAAGGAGTCACTGATGTCTTAGCAGGGCTGTTGGGCTCCAACCCTCCCATGACAGCACCTTGCTGAACCATACTGGGTCTTGGGTGATCTCTGTCCCTCACAGGGGACAGACGGGCATACTTATTCTGTGTGCTCTAGGACACAGAGCATTGTGTCCATTGTTCTGTCCCTGTATCTTTGACCACCCTCAACTGAACAGAGCTCAAAGAAAGAAATAAGCATTCAAAGGGACAGTGAATACTGAAAAAACACTGGCACTTCTCATTCAATAGATATGCCTTTCTCATAAAAAAATGCTCCAGTGTGGCTCAAAAAGCCCTGAGTCTTGACCTAGAGAAATGCTGGGAATTCTTCCTGCCTGGATCACAGGAGTGTCACCTTCTCCACTGGGGACTGGTTCTTGCTCTGGCCCAGGAGATGCAAGTGGCGTTACATGAGGAGGTTTCTCTCCCCAAGGAGTGAGACAGATGCCTGATAAAGAAAGGGCCCTGGCTTTCTGTGTTTCCTTGTATGGATGCAGTGCAGAGAGGCACAGTTTGTCGTGGTGGGGAGGCATGGTGGCTGAGCCTGAGGCAGCCAGTCACATGGCATCCACAGTCAGGAACCAGTGGGAGGTCATTGCCTGTGCCCAGGTTACTTTCTCCTTTTTCCGTTATGGGTCCTGTGGAAATGTGCTGCCCAGATTTAGGGTGATTCTTTCCTCCTCAATTAACTTAATTGAAATAATGCTTGGGTGTGATGGCGGCTCTCTGTGAGTTCCAGGCCAGCCTGGTTTACATAGTGAGTTCCAGGACTACGGAAAGAGACTTCATCTCAAAAAAAAAAAAAAAAAAAAAGAAAGAAAGAGAAAAGAAGAAAAGAAATAATGCCTCAAAGGTATGCCCAGAGATTTGTTTCCATGGTGATTCTAAATCCCATTATTTTGACAGTCTTCATTAGTGTTCTCTCTCTCTGTCTTTCTCTCTCTCTCTCTCTCTCTGTGTGTGTGTGTGTGTGTGTGTGTGTGTGTGTCAACAGACTGGTGTTTATGAGCCTAGGTTAAAAATGCCCCTATTACATTGATTTTCTGTTAGTTGCAGCCTGAAGCAGACCTGCCTGATAAAAGGATGGCGAGCTACGTTCCTCATTGGGAGTGACTCCTAACCTCTGTGTCTTGTGTCTATTTCAGAGGGTCTTGCTGTTGGTGTAGGATTTGGAGCCATAGAAAAGACTGCATCTGCCACCTTTGAGAGTGCCAGGTAAGCCGACTCATGGGGCCTGGAGTGTGGGCCGCACCCCTCGTTTCTCTGCGCTTGATACCGGGGTCAGCTGCCAGCACAGGGTTGCTAAGTAACCTCATTCCATCATGGAAGGAGTGATGAGGTTAGAGGAAGTTCATTTGAGTGAAGTACTCAGCCAGACAAACGGGCTTGGACAGTCGTTCTCACAGGAGGCGGCTCACAGGTAACCACTTTGAAAATGCAAGCAAGATCTGACTGCACGCTGTACCTAAGCATGGAGTGTGTGACAGCTAAGGAGGAGGCTTAGCAGTGGCAGCGATCAGTGTTCTGAGTGGCTCCTTCCCTTTGCCAGTCTCTCTCTCTTGTTCGACTTTCCCGCCATTTGTAGGCCGTCTTCCCAGAAGGCTCCTTTGCCTGGTCCTCACACAGTGACCCATTCTTAAATGTCAGTGTCCAGAACTCAGTCCCTGGAGCATCATCTCTTTTTATTTCATGCATGCTCCCCAGGCTACCTCCTCCATTCCTGTGTGACCTATTTGCCATCTACTTGCAAGTGTCGCCTGCCTCCAGCTCTGGCCTAAACTTGAGCTCCTTCCAATGGGGCCGGCTACCTTCAGACATCTGCACTGGGGTTTTGTAGCATCCCCCTGCTCAGCCCTTCCAAGTTGAGCTTTACTGTCACTGTCTCTATTCCATGGGTTCTGTCTTTCCTTCAGGGTTGCAGTCTGGCCAAGCCATGCCCACGGTCATCTTCCCCATCTGATTTTCCCTCTTCCTCTCTAGCCCATCAGCCTTCTTCCTCTCACCTAATTCCACCCACATGGTGCCATTTAGACCTCATGTGATAAGCTCTACAGGGCCTACCCACACTCGAAAAGCTATGACCACTCAATCTTCCAGGCCGAAGGACACCAGGATGGAGCCTCTCATTCAAGGGCCACAATCCCAGCCCCCTCCGGAGGACTAGGGGTGCAAGGACAAGTGGACACAATAGGATGGGGACAGCTGGGAATGGTGAGCGCTGAGGGAATGTATCATACTCACTGTAAACGCTCATAGATTTACACGTATAGATTTATGTGTTCAAGGGGTTGAACACATAATTTCAGGCCTGGAGAGGTAGCTTGTAAAATGCCTCCTGTACAAGATTAAAAATCTGTGTTTCCAGAACCTGTGGAGCAGAGAAGCTAGGCAACATGGTGCATACTGATAATCCCAGCCCTGAGGAGGTGAGACAGGTGTTTCCCTGGGGCTAGCTGACCAGCCAGCCTAAGGCCAAGAAGACACCCTGTCTCAAAAACCAAACGGTGGGCAGTGCCAGGGGAACAACACTCTGAGCTTGTCTTCAGACCTCCATATGCACAGACACAGTACCCCCAACACTAACACACATAAACACACACATGCATGCATGCTTACATGTGCAACTCAAATCAGATGGGTCAGAGTGCTGCCTTCAGACAGTCCAGCACAAAGCTGTTCTGCTCCTCACCCCACGTACGGTACTCCTCCTGTGTGGACCAGCCCTATGTCTACTGGCCAGGACTGTCAGGAGGAACTTTCTCGTCGTTACCCCTTTTCCACCTTTGTACTAGGCCTTTATACACAGCTGGAGGACTGAGACTTCACCCACCATGCATCTGTGTTCCCAGATGCAGCAGAGGCCTGTGGGTTAAATGCCCTCACTGTCCAACACCACATCCGGAACCTATATGTTAAAATGTGTGTCTGTTCCATGAAGCCCCAAACGTGCAAGGGGCACTAGGAGGTTCTAGGTTGAAGTATGTCCTGTCTTAGCTCATTCTTCCTGCCTCTTGGGCTCTTGGACCAAGCTATTTTCACTTTAGCATCATGGTAAAAATGCTGCCTTTTGTAAAAGTCAAGTGATAAAGTGGATGGAGGAAGGAAGGAAGGAAGGAAGGAAGGAAGGAAGGAAGGAAGGAAGG